TCCTATCGTTTTCTCCCGTGCCTCGTGTCACTGGGTTACCACACGTTCTGAAACGGAAGTGAATCCCATCCCCCGACCGCACCCGCGCCGAGTGGAGTACCGGTGAGTGCTTTTAGACGAGGCCGCACTTGTAGGCGATGGAGCTTTACGCCGATGGCACGAAATAAGGAGACCGTCAAAGCGGGGGTGGAAAGGGGAGAAAAGCGGCTCGGCTCGAGTAAGAAGAACGTGCGCTCGGATAAGGAGACGGAGAGAGAGGTAGCCGGGCGGTTGTTGAGAACAAATGCGAAGCTCTGCCTCCATTTACGTGGGGGCTGCGCGAGCGTCAGGGGTTGGCACGAGGCACGGGATGGAAGAAATTCGTGGAAATACCGCGGAATTGGATAAGCCGGCGGCGGGGTTTGTTTTGTCAGGGGTTCGCAACGAGGATAAACGCGGGCGACTGCGACTGTGGGATCGCGTGGTCGTTGGTCATAGGCCCGACTATCGCGTGTCCCAGCGAACTTTCTCTTGCTCGCTCGCATGCTCGTTCGCTCACTCGCCCGTCTGCGCGGAAATCGGCAATCTGCTAACCCGAGACAGACACTCCGTGTTGTTAACAAGCGTCGCCGGATCGATGAGTCGAAACGGTTTTTCTGGTTAAATTAATATTTCCTCGGAATGCTTCACATTCCGTGAAAGATATGTGAAAATAATCAGTACTCAAAGTTCAAAGCGAGATAATACATGTTTTTATCTGTTAAATGTAAATATTATGTTTAATATATCCTGTTTTTCAATTATATAAAAAAAAGAAACTGTCTAGTATTTTAACACACACACTTGTCCATTTAACAAAGTTCAGAAAATTCAGAAAACATTCGCTCTTAGCGTTACTGTCAGTTTCTGTAGTACTCTGTGCTGTGATATTCAAAATTACAATGTAATGAAAGAAAACGGTCGCTATTTATTTTTCTAAATATTATCCTCCAACGCGACTCGCCGATCTCATTTCTCCATCGTAGAGAGAAAGTGCGGAAGGAGACGGGTCCTTACGCGAACTATTGTCGAGACGAGACCGACGGCGATCGAAAGCCCGACAATGGAATTGCGATTATCGTCCGAGCAGGGTTGCTTGCCCTCATCAAACCCTATATACGCGAGGGCGAATCGAATGGTATGGAACACGATGAGAGACAGGGAGAGGTATCGGCGAAGGAAAGAGGGAACGGGAGGGTGAGGGGTGGGATTGGCACGGGGGTGGAGCAGCAAGATAGAGTTAGAGAGGAACGAGCGGGAGGTACTAGGTGCTGTTTGTTGAATCCTCGAGATCAATACGACGTACCCTATCTCTTTCTCCCTCGTAATATTGCGAACGATGGCGTGCGTGACACACGTACATACATGTACATGCTCCCCATATACATCACGAGAGGCGAAGTGATGCTGCGCCAATTGATTCTGGATTTTTCACGAAAGTGTTTGCCGATTTCCATTTCTCGTCGACGAGAAATGGGCAAAATTGTGAAGTATACGAACAGCTTGATTGCTCATTTTCATTTTTTTTTTCCTATAAGATAAATTGACGTAATGATGAACGGGGGAAATCTCGTGGTTAATATTGTGTACATCAGTCATGCCAATTACGACAGATTGCTGCCGTGAGATTGTAGCTGGTGTACCGCCATTTCCGATAATTATGCAAAATAACATTGTACAATTCTATTCATGCAAGTTTCAAAATGAAAATATCAGGATCCTAAGAATCGATTGTCTTCTTTTAATGCTATCTATATACAAATAGCAATAAGCAATGTGTGTATGTGTGTGTGTGTATATATATATATTATACATATATATATATATGTATATAAATATATATGTACACACATTTAGAATTCAAGCCTCATCGATGCTTCATATGTATAAAAATTCGAAAGCTTTTTCCTACAGAAAAGAAGCGATGAAAGAAATTAATAACAATAGCTCTTGAAGGTGAGAATCCGTATCCCCGGCTTTCCCACCCATTTCTACGTAATCCTTCATTCCGCTCAGCTCTTCCATAAAGGCAGACGATTTCACAAAAGAATATACCATGAGAGGGTGGCTTCACGGCGCAAGCCTGCTTTTCAAAAAACAGGATTGGTCATACCGCCTTACTTATCGCACTAGTTATATCGCGATAAAGAAAGTTCTCTCGCGGAGCTTTTTCTAGCTTTGTCTCTCTCACACACTCTCCCCCGTTCTTCCTCTTCCGACCAATCGAGGAGGCCTGCTTATCGTCAATGCGAAGGGTGAACTGCGCACTGCGGTATGGGACGAAAATAGGTCGGCCAATTCTCGTACCAGCACCCTCTTTCGCCTCCGCCTTACCTATCGACACCTCCGCACCCTTATCCGAACTCTAATAAAAACCGAATACCTACGAATGTGAGTTTCGATCGCTTAAGGTGCGGCCTTTTCGACGCACATTCAGGGTCAAATTTAACCACCGTTGATGCGCTGAGAGGGAGGCCAAATGTGTAATCAAATCATTCGAAATGTTATGTTAATAACTAATACTTCGGAATAACATACATGTAAATGTAAATTTGTAACTCTCCGGATTAAATACATTCAATGTAATACCGAAGATATTAAGTATATTATAAAATATAGAGAAGTACAACACATATACGAGAAATCAGATCGGTTTGTCATTAAATTATAAAATTTTAATTACTCATTGCTTTCATATATATATATAAACCAGGATTAATTTATTAAGTTTTTCCTATGTAAATAAGCTCGTAATAAAACAAAAAAACTTGCAATGTATAATTTCTTCATCCGCAAGAACATAGTGATAAAAATTCAAATAATGATGCAAATCAGAGTAAAAACTCTTCGTCATAATTTATCTCCATTAGCTAAAATAAATTAATTATGAAATGATCTCGGAACTAACAAAATATAAAATACTACTTTATGCAGTCTTATTAAATTGTATACTTGTATACGCCATTACAAAAAAAAGGCAAACATCTTTGATCGATATCGAGAATTATCAAAAAGTTGATTAAAGACTATGTCAAATCTACGCACCTTCCTCCAGCGCATCTCACAGAAAAGAATATATGTACATTACATCTGTGATCATGATATCGTTCGCGTCAACTCACTTCCGCTGAAGACACAAACACATTGTTATCTGCGCAGCGCGTTTTTCACATTTGATTTCCTCATAAGCGCAATAACAACGAATTCATCACTATAAAAAACGTCTGTCAAAAGTCTTCACAAAGAGATCACAAATTATGAGGCATCAGCGAATGATTCCGAATCATCTTTCGCGCGCATATATGTAAATCGCGAGCCATCTTCAATCAATTTCCAGATTGCTGCTTGTCCTCTGTCAGCCATGGAATTTTATTGTTGAGATTGCTGGCTCGTGGAAACTTGCGGGGCAGACTGCGAGGATTGCTGTTGCGTCTGCATGCGCACCGGATGATACAGAGGGTAGGTCTTTCGCTTTCTGATGCCATGCATGGAAAGTAGATGAATCTGCAAGTACTGCTTGGTCTTGAACTGTTTGTTGCACACATGACACGAGATGTACTCGGTCTGCACAGTGTGAACGTTAACGATGTGCTGCTTCAGATTGGAATTGTTCGAGTATATCTTGCCGCATTCGGGACACTTGGGTTTACCGCCGTTGTTGGCGTTCTCCAATTGCTGATGATACCGCCTGTGAGATTGTTGCTGGAGTATCGCCATGCTGTCGATCTTGATGCTCTCCTTCGCGCAAGACTGCAGCATCAGATTCAGTTGTTCGCTCTTGGTGCTCTGCTGGAGATTTTGGAGATTGTTCTGCAATTTCTGATGCATCATCGTAAGTTGCTCACTGTTTAGATTATTGAGGGAGTTGAGGGCATCGAGGGTGTGTTGCTGCGACGACTGTTGGCTGGTGGCATGGTGGTGATGATGCTGGTGGTGATGGTGCTGAAGCAGGGCCGAGAGATCCTGTTTCGAGCTGTGACCTCCGTCGCTCTGATAGGTTCCAGACCCGGCGTGGTCGTTCTTCGTGGAGGATGTTCCTGGCAGCCAACCGGAACTCGAGCTTGAACCGTCTCCTCCAGAGGGCTGCCACCGCCCTGGAACCACCAGCCAATGTCAGTCCTCAGCCAACCTCGTACGATCCCTTAAACACTATTCAATCGCTTTTTTTTGCCTCCCGCAGCCCCTTCTTATGCATTTTTCAACTTTCTCTTTTCTGAAAGTGTATTTCCAGGTTTTATTAAAGACAACTTGCCCTCGATAATTTTCGTACCCTCCCCTCTCCCTAAACCTAGGATTGAATTCGATCCTTGGTATCGTGCGAGTTAATGGCAACCCTTAATCATTCCTGGCGCTCCTGTGCGCCCTATTATTCGTCTTTTCTTCATTATCTTCCCATATCGCGATTTGTTTCCAATTCTTATTCAAATTGCGACCAAGTAAGATCACTATATTGATATACACGCATAATTAAGATTATTTTAGATAATCATAGAGATAATTTTAAATTTACAACTCGACTCTCCTGATCCTGAAAATTTTGTTGGTATTGCAAGTAGCGACGCGACGCGAATCAATTTCACACTTGCACAATTTTTCAAGATAATAAGTGATGTCGAAAATGAGCCTCACACCGCAGACAAAGACAATGACGAAGATACAATGTAAAACTCGTTTCTGAATAGAAAACTAATTGCATGATAGTTACTATAAAGGGACTTATATCTTCGCCATGTATAAGATACGCCATAATAATGAAAATCATAGAAGAGCCGTTGAGATGCGACTCCATAATACGTTGCTGCTCACCGTGTGATAAGAGGGGTAGCTGACAGGGGATGCAAGGGTTGTGAGAGGTACGAGAGTTTCATGCATTCAACGCAACAACGAGAGATCAGAGTCTTGGGAAACGACGGAAGGATACTAGTCTGGGCTTTAAGAATGTTTAAAAAGGTGAAATCAAATCGTTGATTTGATAAACTTACCATAATTTGCATCCTGATTGGCTACCTGATGCATACCGGAGGGTCCTGGCATGTTCATCCCTGTAATTTATAAATAAAACCAATTAGATCAGTTTTAGACACATAACAGACATTATACATATAAGATGTTATGATTTAAAAAATTTTAATATTATTATAAATAAGAAGAAAAAAGCAACTATTAATATATTATATTTGAACGGAAAAGATTAGAAGTGTGACATTTATTACTTTAATTGTCGCGAATGTATTCAAAGTATTTTTTTTATAATACATTTTTTAATATTTAACAATATGCAGTACACGTGGTATGCATTAACGAAGTCAACTACTATTTCACGGTAAATAGAAATATAAATCATGAGATTTATATCGCTCAATTGACTATAGAACAGGTAAACGAAATCAAATTATGTTAATAATATGTTAGTTTATTATATTTAATAATAGATTCATGTTAACACATTTTCATAAGTCAAAGAATACAATGAAATTATGTACACAAATAGAAATAATTGTAATTATTCATTAATTAATTTTAATTGAAGCCATAATTAGTAATTAAGTCGGGCTAATTGCTAATTACGAAAGTAATTAGTAACTGGACGAGGAATTAATAATTAATTACAAATGTAATTAGTAATTAAATGTGCCATTAATTAAAAAACTAATTTGCATCCTTTCGACAAAACTGGGATTTCTTTGGTCCATCGTAAATTCAACCCTACCCTTATAAATAACGAAGTGACTGTTATTTATAAGCAATTATCGATATAAAACATATTTTTCAAACAGATCAATAGTCTACTTATTTCTGTCGAAATATTTATTATTAAATTAATCATAGACAAAGCAAAAACAATATAGTCTGTCAAGTATAAAATGTTTTACAAAATTCAACGTGAGAATTTCAAGTTTAATAGCCAAATAATTACCTTGAAGACTCAACAATGCTGTGGGGAAGCTGTTTCGATGGTGTTCTAAAGAGTCATTTAGAATGTCACTCGGCTCGGTCTTCACTGCGTTCAGGATGCTGCCGTGGTTCGAAATATCTTCCTCGTTTTCCGACATAGAATTCGAGTCCTCGCCAGTCGACTGTGCCTGAAAATAAACAGAATATTCCTACATTCATGAATTCTATGTAAAAAGATAGCTCCAATCACTGCAATGACATTCATTAATTTTGCAAAACTTAAATTTACAATTTTATGCAAAAATATATTTATTTAATAGACACAATTGCTGTCTATTCTGACCTATACGTAATTCTTGCTCACCTGTATATTGTTTGTGGATGTCGTGTGTATCGTGGGACCACCTTCGAGTGCCTGACCTAACAAGGATTCCTGAAGATCCGACTTTGGTTCGACATGGTTACCCATTGGCGGACTGTAACTTCTCGCTCGCTTTTCCGGTGGGCTCAACTCACTTTCATTGAGATCCCCTCTTCCGTTATCCTGCCAATTACGCGGGGTCGCCTGACCAAATCAAAAACAATATACGGACGATAGTACAGCATCCATGAAAAAAGGTAACGCAATCACTCTTCATAATTCAGTTTCAATTAATATTTTACATTCAATAATCTCATTATATGTATAATCAGCGAAACTCCGGATACTCATCCATTATTAAAACTTTCTCGTAATATTTGTCTAACGTCTATTATAAGTCGTGAAATTAAAAGCTGAAGGACGAAGCAGGAAATTCTAGCCGGGGATTCCGCCTGTCACGGTAACGGCGACGGCGTAGTGTTAAAAGCACATTAATTAAAATTCGTTTTAATTAAGGCTAAATTAATTAAAAGTTCGAAACCAGCCGTATAATTCGTATAATTAATTTTCCAACTTCCATATTAAACTGCCGCGGGGACAACTTACAGGTGCGCTACCGTTGTTGCCGGCCGACGACGACGGAATTTTCGTGGCGCCGCTATTAACGTCCGCCAAACCTCGCACTTGAAGCATCTGAGCCGTCTTCAGGAAGGCAGGTAGCTGCTCTTGGCCCACGTGTACTTCCCCGTGATACATGAAACGCAGCAAGGACTCCATGTCCGACGATGCTACGTCCTTCAGGATTACAATTGGATGAGGACATGGATTTGCCTGCACCAAAAATTAACATTTCCTTCGAATTCACATTTTTATATAATTAATAACGCAATGCAAAACACTCAAATAATGAAGTATCCTAACGTGAAATGATAGAATATTATTTACGTTATTTAAATATGAATCCTAATATTTCTGGTAATTATATCTGAAATCGTATAACATTGTTACTTTGTTACAGAAAATTATTTTAGCTCGCAAAACGTAAAATTATTGTAAGGTAGCTTGCGTGTGTAACTCGTTCAATTTCGGACTATTTCAGTCGTACAGTCAACTGCTTAATATTATCCATCCAATCAAAGCGACGAACCACGCAGCGCTGATTCAACGAGATTTGATATAAGATACCAGTGTCAAATTAATCGCGGCTATTAATTATCAGCTATATCCCGGGCAGCCATTAGTACAATGATTTTATACGTAGCGTGGCAATTACAAAAAAAAAGTATGCGCTCTAACGCTCGATCAATCAAGGTAATCGATCCATCGGGAAGCGCGCGATTTTTCTAATCGTAGATTCATACGTGAGGAGATCGGAAACTCCAAGAGAGATACATCGATCCTCTATCCGCGAGAGGTCAAAAGGTTTGACGGTAACGAATACCACCTCCCCTTTCTTTCGCCCTTTTTCTATGTGCAGTGTACAGAACAGAATGATTCTCACGTGTACTGAAATTCAGCAAACCATACGCACTTAGATATCCATCGTGCAAAAAGAGGAGAGTAACTAAACGATTCAACATCGGCTAAAGGTTAAGAGGTGTACGAGGATTCTCTGATCGATGCTCGGCGAATCGATCCCTCTTGCAAAGCGCTTAATCCCATCCATCGATCGACACGGCAGGGGGATCTGACGATTAATTTGTAACGATTTACAACCGAGATGCATATAATCAACGTCGTTTAATCCACGTCGGAGCTACCCTTCATCTTAGTGCATCGCTGCACCGATTTGTACGTTTAAGCGCACATAAATCGCCAATTTTTTCTACAAATATATACGCAACGGAATGACTTAAAAAATTAAAAACTACAAGACAGAGCATCCACTATGTATGTATACGCTAAATTATAATCTCTCTAATCTTTATTTAGAGTATTTAGACTCACGCATGAAAAACATAATTGATTTGAAATGGGTTACATTAATTGTTTTTCATTCGACTCAAGTGATACTTTAAACACTTGATCTGCAAAAATATCGCCTCGGTCTTGGTAATTGCAAAAATTCTAAAACGAGATGACATCCTTATTGCCAAGAGTGCCCCAGATACCTCCTCACCTTTCTCATCAGTAGATTGACCGAGTGAAATCGCTTTTCGCCGATGGTTAATTCATAATTGCATCCACGAACAGTCACGCTCGACAGCCAATTGATTCGTAACGACAATTTATAACCACGACGCGTATGATGATCGATACTCAATCTACGTCGGGATGTTCCCGTATACCTTGGGCATCAATTCTTACACCTGTCAGACCAGCGAATTAACTCTTAATATTGAACAATCTTCGAGATCGTTAGACGATGACAATTGATCCTCAACAAGCAAAGTTGAACATTTAGAGTTATCGTTTTGCCTCTACATGAAAATGTATACCTATTCCATTATGCAGTGTTTATATATTGCATAATGCACCGTTTATGTATAGAATATTGTATCATTTAATATTTACGTGCATAGCTGACGGAAAAAAATTACCACGGTATAATTCGTCACAAATATATCCTTCTTATTTTTCGCCATTAATTAATCATTTATTTATCGTGATTCAAATATGTTGTTTAATAAATCTATATACAATAATTAAAACAACGGTTGTATTGTTAACTTCTAGATAAATGGGTGCATATTTTCATAATATGGACGCAATGTGTTCTCGGTGTTACATCGATGTAACGGCATCGATCACGATTGCTCTCGCGAAAAGACCGCGAAAGCAGGCCATATAAAGCGGAGGCGTTTCACAGCGATGTACGTACGTCATAGCAATATTATACGAAGTGCTAGTACCATTATCGACAGCGATATTAATTATAATTAATGAACCTCCTGGGATGGCGCGGCTCGTACGCCTGCCTACACAGTTATATCGAAACGACGCGATGCTGCACATATACACGCTGCACCGCGAGAGCGCGGAGACGTATAATGCCGCGACCTCGGCAAAGAACCATCCCAACTTCGATTATCGATGCCCCGAATTTAACGTCAGTACGTGAAAACCCACGGCAGCGCGGAGGTTCGACTCTGCCATGTGCAGAGACATTTATTATTGGCCAGTATCGACTTAACGTCTGTGCACGCGGTGCAGCGAGGTGCGGCGTTTCGATTTATTGGACTGCATACACGGAACGTATCGGGTAGGTAAATGGTTCTTGAGATGGAAGAGCAAGTTGCGCGTCTATTGCGTAGAACGATATGACTGAGAAGAAAAATATTAATTATAGATTGAATTAAAAACCTTAACTGCGCTTAGGAAAATATTCATATTTTATAAATTATGAAAAAATAGATTAGCATAATTTGTGACACGTTGGAAAATATTTTCATGACGCGTACAACACATAAGTATATTGATTAAATTTTATGAGATTATACACATATATGCATATTGCTGTTTAACTTTTTTGTTGAGAAATAACCTTAAGAAAATAATGAATTAAAATTTAATTTTTTTTCTCAATATAATTAATGCAATTTCGTAATTGGAGAACTATATTTCATTAAATGCCGATAGCCGTTTCACAATAAAAGAAAAACATCTACGCTGATCGAGCATTTTATCCCGACAAAAGCATGACTTAATCAATCGAATAATGCATTGAGATTCATCTCTCGGCGAAGGGCAGTTTTCGCGGCGCGTAGGAGAGAAATATTTTTACCAATAATCCCGCAGTTACAAAAGCACTTTTTAATAATAATTATACGATTGAATATAAACGATCCTTATTATACGACGCAAAATAAAAGAAATTTCAATTGCGAGCGATCGAGAATATCCCGTTGTCATAATATTTTATTATTGTTACCACATTTATGTGTTACAATTCAAGGAGGTAACGTTCACCAATGAAAAATCTATCGGCCTGAATTTTCAGCGTAAAAGATATAAATAAACGTTTCTTTGAATTTGTAATGTGTTTCTCGATGAAAAGCGTTTATCTTCGCGAAATTTCAACGAACGCATTTATTCAGAGGTCTTGTGAATATTAAGCATGGCATATACGATTCTCTCTCCCCGATACCTTTATCGGGTGCTGGAAAGCTCGTTGATGGGAATAACTCAAATAATTGAAGCAGTGGAAATAATCACTGTCTGCAGGTATCTGCACACCTTTAGAATTCCGCAGCGAAATGAGATAAAGCGACACAGAGTTGCAGAAGAAGAGAAACAATGGATGGTGCAAGAAGAGAGGAGAATGAGAACGCTACGGACTCCTTTATCGCATTAACCAACTCAATTAACAACTTTGAGACGAGACACCATCCTCTCTAATTAGACCTAACGGGATTAAAACGGGTCAATAATTAATTGTATAATCGCGTGTGCGTCAGAATAGACGAATGATCAAAGAGCCTGCGATTAATTTGCGAGATACGTATCGATCTGCAAGATATATATATCATGAATCCCTAACGGACGATACTTATTCGATTACTATGTATGCAAGGATACATCGACATATCTGCTAATTACGCCTCGGATGTTTGCTCGCGAAATGTATATAGTCTCCAAAGAAGTCATACATTTAATTCTATTATAATTATACACAGAATTATACGGAGAATATTGATGCAACCTGTCATCAAAGATCTTATTGTAGTACCACATCGTTGTGCTGCTTGTTATCAAATGAAATCTAATTGGTAAATTGCTCGTATACACTTTATCCAACGAACAATTTGTCTCAATCATCAAAAATGGCCGACGGATAGTACAATATTTAGCGATATGCATTACCTACTTAATCGATTCTCAGAATTCGATCGGCGCACTTGACGCAACGTACACATATCGAATCTGTATCTCTTGGCAAAAGCCAATATTCTCTAAAATGGAATGTAAATAAGATACCGATCCAGCCATCATTACAGTCTATCTCATTTGTCTAATCGGATGGTAAGCTTCCGTCGTTGATTTTTCGTGCATCAAGGCTCATATGACTCGTAACGTGGGAAACGTTGCGCCAGCCTTATTAACAGCTCCTCGCACGGTCCCCGCGTGCATACACCGTGCATGCACGATTTTTCCTCGAATCAAACGTGCTCCGCGTATCACCGGCATCGTTCGACCATAATTACACAGCCACCTGTGAGCGATCGCGCGCGGCGGAATCCAGAGCGTCCGCTTTCTAAAATCCGCAGAGTATAGCGCGCAGCGGCGCGGGGAAGATCGTGGCAGGCGATTAGGAATCGGCCGCGTGATCGAGTGGTACCGATAATTGATTAGTGGAAATAAACGGGGGGGCCATGCGTGAGAGACACAATGAAGGAGGCGGCGGAGATTAACGATACGCTGTTAGAAAATGAACGGACTTGTACCCGAGCGTGTCGCAAGACGTACTGCACGGCGTGCTAGAGCCCTTAACTCCTCGAGAGAGTTCCCGGTATTCATTATAACGGGCCGTATATCTTTTTTATTTGTAATACACAGGCGTCTATTTTCAGAGGCACACTCGGTATTGCTATTCCAGAGTTTACGAACACGCCGTGAGTTATGATTAAAATTATTTAGCACGACTTGCATGATTAAACGGAGTAATGAACGGGAGAAAAAAACAAGCAATCTTGGTATTTCGCACCAAGAGTTAATGCGTTTGTAGTCGGGAAATGATTTATTTAGAGAAGAAACGTAGTAAACAAAAGAATACTTTGTAATTTAAGCAAAACTAAAGTATAAATAAATATAAAAGTATTTTCTTTCCAATTATTATATCCATAAGATATCGGATGCATCTCAATTCTTAAAATAAGTATTGTCGCAAAATT